GAAACGATTTCTAAATGTATCTAAGTGAATGAACGAAGCAGGAAGTGTTTGCGTCCTTATTCTCTCCCTTTTCTTTGTGTGTGTTTATTTTTGGACCCTTTTTGTATTTGGGATGGTCTTGAAACCACGGTCATCCTTCCTTAGGTCCATGGACACGCGGCTACCACGTGAATCGAAGAAGAGAGCTTGACCTGCTTCAAGAATCTCTCACGTCTACCGTCAGTTCGCTCACTCGTTCCTCTCTCCTCCTATATATCTGTATGTAGTGTGCAAGTGTACATGTAGTATGTGTGCTGCATATGTATGTAGCGTCTGGCACTAGAATGTAGTGTGCATGTATTCGTAGAGAGTTAGCACGCACCGGTTGCGTGGACACACACTATCATGAGACGTGCACATGAGAGCACGAAACAAATGCACCACTTTTATACATAGATACCTCCACCCTGTTTTCCATTTTGTTTTTTTTTTGTTTTTTCAAAATTCCCGCCTTCTTCATATTATTATTATCATCCATTATGATTGCGATTATCGTAGACGCAAAACGAGATCGAGAAAATGCCGCTAGGTGCGCGCATTCCAGCTTCTTTTGTTTTTTTTTGCTGTTGTTGCTCTCAATAATAATTTTCCACTCGGAACGATGCCCCATTACTGTTTACTACTGCCGCTAGATAATTGAAAAATTACCGTCGGCCATCGCGACTCTCGTGGTGGAGGTGAAGGAGGCGGCGGTGGAGATGGTTCATTCATAAATCTTGACGCTTTTATTACGCGCTGACTGTAATAAGAAGCGAAGAAAACGATAACCATCTAGTCTTGTTGCAAATCTTGCTTCTGCGAATAATTGGACTATTTTAACAGTTCCATCCGAAACCTGCTCGTTACAAACTATTTCGGACAATGCTCGAAATGAGCAACATCTGCAATGATCGACGTTTCCCCTTCATTATTCCGCACCAAACAATCAGTAACATCAACATTTCTAAATAAATCTGCACGCTGAAGAGGGGTTTTAAACTAATTGCGTGCAGTTTCTATCAAAAATACCAACTGTAATTATTGGTTATTATCCAATCAAATGACATGTGACGTTTGTAATTACCAACTATATTTAATTGCACTTGACATTTATATCTCGCATCACGTTGTTACATATCAAGTAAAGATTTCATAAAATGATCAACAAATGAACTTTTTTTTATATAATTTTCTTTCATTTTTTACATTCACAGTGAACGTGAAACGAGATTTAAATTGAAAATACAAGTTGGTAATCATTTCTTATTGAAACAGATGACAATGACATTTGCACATCTGAAACTGACATTTGCAATTAATTCTTTGCAAAGCTTTACATTTATAACTCACATCATGTTGTTTTCATATCAAGTAAAGATTTAGTAAAATTATTTGCAAATTTACTTTTTTTTATAACATTCTTTCTTTTTTTACATCCACAGTAAGCGTGAAACGAGATTTAAATTGAAATTATAAGTTGCTTATTGAAACAGATGACAATGACATTTGCAATTAATTCCTCGCTGAGCGTACCAACTTCAATAAAATAATGTCACTAATATTAAGTTGAATTTTACATGTATAACTCACATCATGGTACTTTTCATATCAAGTAAAGATTTAGTAAAGTTATTTACAAATTCACTTTTTTTTACATAATTTTCTTTCTTTCTTTACATCCACAGTGAACGTAAAACAAGATTTAAATTGAAATTATAAGTTGGTAATCATTTCTTAATGAAACAGATGACAATGACATTTGCAATTAATTTCTCGATGAGCGTACCAACTTCAATAAAATAAGTTGAATTTTACATTTATAACTCACATCATGTACTTTTCATTTCAAGTAAAGATTTAATAAAATTATTTACAAATTCACTTTTTGTTATAATTTTCTTTCTTTTTTACATTCACAGTGAACGTAAAAAAAGATTGAAATTGAAATTATAAGTTGGTAATCATTTCTTATTGAAACAGATGACAATGACATTTGCAATTAATTCCTCGCTGAGCGTACCAACTTCAATAAATTTATGTCACTATATTTACTTGCAGTTTACATTTATAACTCACATCATGTACTTTTCATATCAAGTAAAGATTATGTAAAGTTTTTGACAAATTAACTTTTTTTTTGGGCGAAACTAAAGAAACGTATTTATTTTATATATAATTCAGATGTGAATTAAATATTTTGAAAATCTTTATTTTCAAATTCGAATCTTTTAAACGATATTTAAATCATAATTATATCAATTATTAACACTAAAAGAGATACGTTGCTTTATTTTCTGATCAAAGAGTAAAAAGAATCTCTAAATCCATAGTTTGAGATTTAAATTGAAATTACAAGTTGGTAATAATTTCTTAATGAAACAGATGACAATGACATTTGCATATCTGAAACTGACAATTTGCAATTAATTTCCCGATGAGCGTACCAACTTCAATAAATTTATGTCACTATATTTACTTGCAGTTTACATTTATAACTCACATCATGTTCTTTTCATATCAAGTAAAGATTTTGTAAAGTTTTTGACAAATTAACTTTTTTTGGGCGAAACTAAAGAAACGTATTTATTTTATATATAATTCAGATGTGAATTAAATATTTTGAAAATCTTTATTTTCAA